GTCATTAGCACCTCTAGTAATATATTTACTGAGAAAAATGGTGATGTGTTCAATACTTATTTTACCTGCTGTATATCCCCGGGCAGAGAATACCAGAGGATGTTTGGAGGCTTTTTTCCACCTCTTGTGCTCTTTTTTTCCTCTCTCTGCAGCGCCCACTGCCTGCCCCTCCCTGGAAGCCCCTGCTCACGGAACAAAGTTTGGCTCAAAGTACTTTGTTGGACACGAGGTTCACTTCACTTGCGCCCKGGGGTACCAGCTCGTCGGTTCTTCCACGCGAGCCTGCAGAGACAACGGCACCTGGTCGGGCGTCYGCGCAGTTTGTAAAGGTGAGCTGCGGTGTGCAGCTCACGTAACAATTAACAATAAATTGTTGGGGGGAATTTCCAAATGCTAGACTGGAGAATGTTTTCAAAACAGAAAGATTTTGTGATTTTATGCACTCAGAAAAGCATTTGCAATCAATTTTATGGGATTTATTGTGGTGTTTCATTACTCAAATACTTAATTATTCATTCCTGAGCTAAATTCCTCTTGTCCATATAAGGTTTCTGAGCCTCTGCTGCGCCTTGATGACAAACTGAGAAAGACTTCAGCTCTAAAACCCCCAAACAGCTCCTCACAACAGACACGAGGCAAAAACAAAAGTCTTTCTTCAAAAAGCTGCTGCAGCTCCTCAATGAAACACCTGTTTAATGGGATTAAATGTCTGCGAACACAGAAAAAAAACACACACTTGTACTACATTCCACTGTGGGATACCTTCCCCTCCAGGCCTATGCTCTTCAGTAACAGCTACTGTAAATTTACCCCTCCCTGCTGCTCATGTTTCTCTGCTTCTTTGGTCCGTTGGTGGGGTTACATCRAGATAATAAGCCCTGACTTTGGTCTGATAGCACACAACTATGCTAAGCATGCTACTGGTCTCCATATCAGCCTGAAGTCAAAGAATTCCAAGTGGCACACTCAGCTGGACACAGGTTTATTGACATTACTGTTTAAAGTAACATGAGAGGACCCTGATGCTCCACAGTCTTATTAAGTAAAAGTAAAAATACCTTAACAGAAAATTAATTTGGTAAAAAAGAATTTCACAGATTAAAAAATGACTTCKGTAAAAGGCATAAAACTATGGGGCGCCAAGCATATAATGAAATGATGAAAAGTTTCACAAATATATTTTTTCATTATTTAGCTCACTTTTCTTTAAGCAAATTTTTTACTAAACGTTACATTTAAATGTTGAAAAAATATTTTAATATTACATTCTAAATCTAAAGATAAAAGTTYAATCTTAAATGTTGACGTTCACATTTAGATATTTTGGAATGGAATGCAGCCTTTGGTTTTAGTGCTTGGCCCAGGTTATGATGTCATCATCCTGAGACAACCCTAGCACTTCAATGCAGCTAAAGCTTCTCTGCAAGACATATACGGCTGGTGTCCGAGCTGCAATTCAAACTGCTGGACCATAGTATCAATATTGTATTTTTATGAACACATACTGTATTGAATTTAGATATTAAATACAATCTCTAGCAGCATTAGCGGTGACTAGCAGTAATTATTGTTRATGTTTGTTGCAGGATTATGACATCATGCRGACTAACCTCTGCTAATGTGTCTAACAGCGCTAAAGCTAGTGTTTAGCACACATCATATAAAGCTGCTCAAAATAATTGGGAAAGTGAAAAGTATTTCTCAGGAGTGAAGTGTTGAATTTATWTAACCAAGTTGTGTCAACTGGTTCCACGAGTTGAGTGCATATTTTCTTTAAAACAAAAACTGTYTCAAATTTAACTAAATTAAATTCAACAATTCATATTTTCATGATGTTCCAGTCATATTTAAATTTGCAGTGTGTAATGAGATGGTAAAAATAAGTAAAAGTATCATTTTTATGTTTTGGATGAAACAAAGTAAAACATAAGTTAAAGTTACTCAAAAAAACTTAAGAACTGTAGTCAAGTACAGTGCTTTACTTTGTTACTTTATTTCCCAACATTGTGCATAATATTAAAATCAGAGTTTGACTAAAACAGCTGCAATTTTGTTATTTCTCAACACAAAATGATTGTATTCTAAAACGTCCATCATGAAAGATAACAGGTGACTTTAAGGAATGCTWGGGCTTTAATCACTGGTTCTGAATTTCAGTAACAGATCTTCAATTACTAAATTTCCAAAAGTGGTATTAAAGAGGCTGAAAAACCCTAAAAAAGCAGAGTTTTAAAATATCCAGAACCTTTTCATGTCGTTGCCCGGTGGTAGAAGAGCCCAATAAAAATGAAAGGATCTGCCTTCGATATTTATAGATATAAAAGCGTAGCTGCTGCTTTGTAATTTGTACATCTGCTCAGCTGAGCCAGAAAAACATCACTCAATGTATCTTTGTACAACACTTCATCGTAACACAGGTGTACTATTTTGTGTATTATATCTTTTTTTCTCAAATAAGCTGTAAACCATGGTGAATTTTTTGGCTTTATGAGATATGCCTGATATGTGGAGAGTTTTCATGTTTGCCCTGTATGCATGTGGGTTTTCTCTGGGTACTCTAGTTCCCTCCTACTGACCAAAACCATGTCTGGTTAACTGGTAACTAAGTTGTCCTTAGTTGTGAGAAAGAGAGTGAATGGTTGTCCTACAACCTATCCAGGTTAATTCTTYCCTCTTACACAGTGACTGCTGGACATAGGTGCCAGCAGGGGCGGAGCCAAAGGGGTGGTCGGCAAGGGCCACCCTTGGCACCTGATTGGCCACCCCCAGGTGACACCCCCAAATACATGAGAAGTGGGTGTGAATCTTGTATTTTGTTAAAGATTATTCTCTGATACRACTGTACTATACAGTTTTTAGCTGTGAATGTTTAAAAATAGCTGAATTTGCCCTTTGTAAAATTAGCATTAGGATTAYTTGTTAGCTTAATTTAGGATTAGCATTGACAATCAGAATGTGATCGTTCTTAGGTACTCCACACAAAAAAATTCATCTGAATAAGTCGTAAAATGGCTGAATTATAGCCTTTTGCGGTTAGCMGTGGTGGCCATTTTTGGATTTTTGATTAGAAGTTAGAATTTGGTAGAGATTTTTTTCAGCTACTTCTACAATTATCTTCAACTTTGTATGCCTAAAAATGTCTGAATAACTAGTTCTGACTAGCATTCAGCATGTTTTTTTAATATGTTATTTTAGCTACAACCACACAAACTTTCAGCTCAYTATTTCTTAAAAAATCTGAATTAAYCTACTTGGATCTAGTTGTGGCGYCCATCTTGAATGTTCAAATCCAGAGTGCTTTTCATTACTTGTATGTGCCCCCCACACACACAAAAAAGTACCCTCACCTTGGCCACCCTTCTGCCACCCCATGCAAAATAAATAAATAAATAAAAAGTCTAGCTCCYRCCTTGGGTGACAGCTCTCTGTGACCTGCCCCAGAGAGGAAAAGTAGGTAACGATTCAGTCATTCTARCATTAATGTAATTCTCTTTTTCAACTGCAGATGTGAGCGAGTGTGCAAGTAATCCCTGCCAAAATGGAGGTACCTGTGTCGAAGGTGTCGACCAGTARAGATGCACTTGCCCTCAAAACTGGAGCGGGTCACACTGCCAGCTCCAAACCCAGACAGGTCAGCACCACACAACTTGTTTGGTTTATYTTTGCAGGTTCATCTAACCCAGCTGTCCCTTATTTACGCAGCACCGCCCGAGTGGAGCGTCATGAACGACCCAGCGTTTAGCCGGAGACCTCGCTGTGCCCAAGTGAACCAAGCCCGACACTGCAGCTGTGACGCAGGCTTTCACATGAGTGGCACCTCTGACAACAGTATCTGTCAGGGTGAGCTGCGATTACGTCTTTATTTAATTAATCCCTGTGGGGAAATTCTKCCGCTGCTGTTTCTCCTCTCAGGAGAAAAAAAAAAAAAGAGGTCATCTCTGGAGCAGCTTGCACCGGCAGCACGGTTCCCTGCTCCTGACATCCCTGAAGGGGCAAACAGCAGATGTTACAGAGACTTTACAGAAGGAAAATATCACTCAAGTGCCTTTTCTCATCTTGATCCAAAACAAGAGTCAGTTTGTGACAAAAAAAATTAGATTTTTTTTTTTTTTT